AAGGAAAAGAAAATCAGAAAATATTTTAAGAAGTAAATGATAAAGAATTTAAAGGGAAACCCAACACTTTTTAGATAAGCGAGTTCCACCAGGCTGCCTTTACCTTGTATCTCCGTTTGTTTGAAACCTTAATTTATATTTTAAAACAATTTTATTAAATTACAAAAATAAATATTTAAGCTTTTTAAAGTTTAAATTACCAAGACAAATATATAAAAGCATTAAAAGTAAAGAAACGAACTAGCCTGGCTTTTCAAGTGGATGTTAAAGGAAAGAGAAAGGAGGTGTCCTGGCCCATCTATCCATCACTGCCACTTGGCAGCAATGGAGACTGAGACATCGTTTCTGGCTTTGCCTGGCTTCTCACTTGTGTTTTAGCCTCATTTGCCACATGGTTTCGCCTGGGTTCGGGTATGGGTTTGAATATCTCCTCGGGGAGTGCCATGTATTCCCATCTAGCAATGGGTTATTCCTAAACCAAGCAGCTTGGCTGCCACTAATGATGCATTCTCACTTGCAACACTGCAACAGAAGCAGCAGCAGCAACTGCAACTGCAACACAACTAAGCCACAACAACGGCAGCCGCAGTTTCGAGACTGACTCTCGTGTTTTATCCTGCGCCCCAGTTCACTCGAGTAAAATGCAATCTCCCCCAACAGGATCCCCTTCAGGTTTCGCTTCTAGGAACTCCTCACTGGCCTGGCTGCCAGTGCTTTCAGCACTTTTGGGAGCAGCCAGCCAACCAGGCCACCAAGTCATCCAGGCATTCAGCCATATGCCATGTGCATCTCTCGCTCACTCTGTCTCTCAGTCTCTCTCTCTCTCTCCTCCTCTCTTTCTCTCTCTAAAAATTACCAACTGTCTTTGGCTACTCTGAAAAGGAATACCCACGAATAGTCACAGGATATATTAAAAGATCGGCTTAAGACTACAGAAAATAATACCATAATTAATTCTAAAGCTTAGTCTTTAGATTTTTAATCATTTTTAATAGGCATAAAAGGCAGAAATTTAGATAAGATAATTTTAGATAAGAATTCCTTATATTTATTGACGGATATATAAAGAGTTCAATACCAATTACAAAAATGTATACTCATTTCTTCTCAACTATTAGCCTTATTTAAGTCCAGAATACTTGAGTAATTTTTAGAAAGAGCATTGTAGAAAGTTCATTGAAATTGCAAACATTGAAAATGCCGAATATTGGAATTTTCCCCTGCTGATGCGACAAGAAGTGAGGTTCGTTTAGTTGTCCTCGCTTGATGCTTGTGGATTTAAGCAAGAAAAATCGACTTACAACCGAAAGTGACTGAGGGAAGCAGAGGGGGGGAGGACACTGGACTGGACTGGGGGTTAAAATCACAGCCAGGAGGAACGCATGCAGCCGAAAAAAGAACCGTCAGTCTATGGTCCGAGTAATTGAGCTTCCTTGTATGCAGGGATATTGCTTTCCTGGCAGCTGGCTTGCAGCACTTTGTGTGCGGCAATGTTGTTGTGAGATGAGAGCCAGGCGTTCGATAAACACGTTGCGTAAAGAAATCGTTGCATAAATTAAGCCTTAATATGCTCCTGACCTCATCGATGCCATCGATGTCTGAGCAAACGATGATAGCGGTGGCTGGGTAGAGAAACAAGGATGCCACGATTACTTCTTGGCAATTTCAGGCTTCGAACTTTGATTCCTAATCGGGAATCCTTCAATTTCTCTACTCCGACAAATGAATACTTAAGGCCAAGCCGACGGCCAGTGGTCAGTGCCAAGTACTCAGAGTCCAATGTCCAGTGTCCAGTGCCAATTGCCAAGTGGAAAGTGGAAAGATTTACGAGCTGCCCAGGGGCAGCTTTCTCTTGCCTCTGCTCTCTCTATCTCTCTCTTTTCTTTCAGCTTCTGGTTCTTTCTACTTTTTGGCCAAAAAGCCAGACAACCTTGGCAAATTGACTTTTGCCTTTGGCCTGGATTTAACAGCGTAAACGTCTCCGCCTTCAGTTCTTCTACACTTGGAAAAACCAGGCCTTAAGGCAGGTTAACTGCCAAATTTTCTAAATAATTTACTGGAAAATTCTGCCCAGCTCGAAGAGTTGAAATATAGCTTAATTTCTTAATCAAAATATGCTGTTTCATCTTGAACTTCATATATAACTGAATAATTAATAATCCCTTTGCTCCTTTACTGTTTCAATAACGAAAATTCCTCATTTATTTTAGTTCTGTACAACATTTTTGCCTTTTCTTTGGTTTGCCTTGGCGATGCTCAAGTTTTCCCTGTTTTCCAAGTTTTCATTTCAATTATTGTTGCCGTTTTTTTATCCCACAAATAATGGCTATTTCGATAAATTCGATGGAAAATAAAGGCAAAAGGTAGCAGCAGCAGCAGAAGCGACAGGGCCTAATCAATAACCAATGCAACACTTTGCTGGCAAGGCCAAGTTATTTTAGCCGTTGCCCTGCAAACAGTTGCCAAGCCAAAAGCTGGCAGGATGAGGGCTTCCCCGAGCTAAGCTGGGCAATAAATTAACAACCTGCTGGCGGGGGCGGTTGAGGGAAAATTTTGGGATTTGCTGTGGAAAAACCCGGGCAAAACCAAACTAAATTAAAATGTTTTTTTTTCAGGCCTTAGCCAAGGGCCTTTGTTGTTATCAGCAGTTATCATGAAAATGCTCTGGCAGGCTAAAATTTCTAAAAAAAAAAATGTTATATAGGTACATATATACGAAAACATAAAATGACGCGAAGAATTTATCAAACATCCGCTTCCGGCGAAATGGCGTTAAAAAAGAAAGAGACAGAGAGAGAGAGAGAGAGAAGGGAAAAAGCCAAAGCAAATTGTTTATTGTTTCATAATTGAAACCAAGAGGCGACTTGACCGGCTCCTCTTTTGGACTCCTCCCCTTCTGACTCCTCTCCTACAGAGTCCTCTTTTCCTCTCCTGGTTGCAAAGCCTGCTGAGCCTGAGCCTGTTTTCCATTGAATACAGATTCTGGTAAAACCTATGTATCATCAGGCCAAGTTGGCATTACAGAACTTCTGGGGAATTTCAAATCACTTAAAATACGGCCTTAAAGTGTACATTTTTTATACCTACTTAAAAAGAAATTAAATGGAAATATAGTATTTATATTATATATAATTTATTTATTTAGGTAAATTATGTTTTTTTATAATTTTCCTGTGATTCAAATACTAAAGATTAAAGATTTTTAACTTCGTATCCCCATTCAAGGATTCCGGCCAAGAACTTTGACTTTCATTTCGGGCCAAGACTGTACTCAATTTCGCTGATTATGTTGAGGAAGAAGCTCAGCGAAATTCCTTTCCCGGCAACTTTGTTTGTTAATTGCCTTAAACGCAAATAAATTCCGGCAAAAAGAGAAAAGAAAAATGCAAAACAAAAGCATTTTATTCTCTTTAACCTGGCCATGCATGGCTCAGCTGCTGGCTTCCATATCCTGGGGCTTGCCCATCAATTGCTGTCTAAGCAGCTGCCGAAATCCAGGGCCAAAACGAGCGGAAAGATGAACTGGACAAGTGGGGTGTAGGGAGAACAGAAACAAAAACTTCATTAAGCAATGTTCAACAATAACATTCATTCTCGTTCTCACACGCAGGCACACGGGAGATTTATATACGTAAGCGCTTTACACCTGTGGCGCCTGGCTTGGCTTGGCTTTTCCTTTTTTTTTCTGTTTTAGGCCCAACCCTCCCCTGAGCATGCATCAAACGGTTGAATTGAAAATGCTGAGCTGGCACAGACTCCATTCTCCTCTCAAGTGTGTGTGTGTGTGTGTGTGTGCGTGCAAACAAGCTGAAAATTCATTAAACTCGAGCAATAAATTCTTTTAATTGTTTTCCCAGCCAAAAGCAACCCCCGCCCCATTTCATTATTATATTTGTGCTTTTTATACCCTTGCAGGTTATTATAATTTCAGTCAGAAGTTTGCAACGCAGTGAAGGAGACGTTTCCGACCCTATAAAGTATATATATTCTTGATCAGCATCAACAGCCGAGTCGATCTAGCCATGTCCGTCTGTCCGTCTGTCCGTCTGTCCGTCTGTCCGTCTGTCCGTCTGTCCACCTGTCCGTTTCTACGCAAACTAGTCCCTCAGTTTAAAAGCCATCTGAATGAAACTTTGCATATAGTCTTCTATATACTCTCACTGCTATATATGTCGGAACGGGCCGGATCGGACGACTATATCATATAGCTGCCATACAAATGTCCGATAAATTTTTAGAAAAAAATTATAACTTTGCTGTTTTTCAATATTTTTGCACCATTTTTTAGATATGGCCATTTTATATTATTTCTAAATTTTGGTAAACATTTTATGAAAATCGGACGACTATATGATATAGCTGCCATAGGAACGATCGGGAAATTAATAGGAAAAAAATTATAGCTTCGTTGTTTTTCAACGTATTTGTATCTACTCTGAGATATAGGCTTTTTTTATTGTTCTAGAATTTTGGTATAAATTTCATAAAAATCGGACAACTATATCATATAGCTGCCATATAAACCGATCGGTAGATGTATACAAAATGTAAAGCTGGGAATGCAAAACTGTAACTGTCAAACTGTAAACATAATAAGTATAGGTAAAATGTAATGAAATAATATCTGCAAGGGTATACAAACTTCGGCGTGCCGAAGTTAGCTTCCTTTCTTGTTTTTTCTTATCTTTTGTTTAACAACAAACATTCACTGGAAGCTCTTTGGGTTTCCTTGCGTTATTTTAATGTTTTACGTGATATGTTTGGCATGTCTTTGACGCAACACCTCTCCCTTTCCACCTGGGACCGCGTCATTAATTCTTTTCAATTTAGACAGGATACCCAGGAGCTGCTGCTGCCTCATTAGCAGGTACAGTCCCGGGGCCGAAAACTTTGACAGTTGCATCATTAATACTCCTTGGGAAAGTTGGGAGAGAGAGTGTAATGAACCGACAGTCTTGTCAAGAGCTCAACTAATGGATTTCCCCTCCTCTGTCTTGCAGGTGTCTTCGGCATCGACTTGTTTCATGTTGTAATTCGAGGACTTTCGGTAAGTGTAAGCAACTCTTGAAAAAAAAAATAGAAAAAATAGAAAGATAAACAACCAACAGGACACAAAGTCCAGTATTGAAATTGGGGCTGAGGGGATTCCCCTCCATTTTGGATTGTTGCCTGGCACAAACTTTGAAACCGGAACGGAAGGATAATGCCGAGATTGTCCTGCAACTGCAACTGCAGGCCGGCAGCGCCAAGTTTCGATTTAGTTTCTTTTTTTGGGGTCAGCTAAGAAGAGAGAGGACGCACAGCACCGAAGGTTACAGTTCGAGTTGAGCCACACAAATCTCCATCCACTCCCAGCTGGAGGAGATTAGCGGACAATGTTTTGAGATAAAGCGAGCAAAGTTTGTGCAGCAGCAGCAGAAGCCTCCACTGAATGGGAATTAAACCTGGCACTCGAAAAGTCAGTCTCGCTGAAGGTGGGAATTCAAATGCAAAGGGGGAGGAGCAGAGAGAAGCAGGACTTTCGTACGAATAATGTTAGTCCTTGGATTGCGTTTCCATGTTCCTTTCAAACTGGCAAATAGTGGAACCTAACCGGCTTCAGCTTGAAACTTGCATACACTTTGAAAGTGTACATCCTGCTACATTTTGAGATATCCTTAAAGCAGCCAGGAAGTTTATATACTTCCAACACCTGCCACCAGAAGAAGGTGTTGTTTTCAGATCAAAAGCAATACCATTTTAATTAAGAGACCAGCTTCATTTAGACTCAAAACAAAACCGCAATATCATTAAGAAGGACACTTTCAAGGCGTGAATAATATCCCTTGTAAGTGAAAACACCTGCTATGTGTGTGTGTGTCCTTCTCGGAAGGCGCCACAGATTAAAGTGCTACTTGGGTGTCGGTGTCACAGCTGCAGGAGAATTAGCCAGGATGTCTTAATCAGTTGACAGTCATCCAGTGCAGCAGTCGCTCCTTGAGAATCCTGGATCCCGGACATATGCAGCAGCACCTGGCCCGGACTTAAGACCATGCCAATATATATTATACTGATTGTGGAATGGCACTTCGGCCCTCTCTTCGGATGACAAGGCCTTGGGCATTGCCCGTTGGCCATGCTGCACTTCCGGCTGTCGGTCGTCCTTGCGGCAACGTTTGACATTTTGCAGAGCCACAGAGTCCTGTCCTTGGTGTGGAGTCCCCACGCTTCCTCGCCCCAGTGGTTGCCTTCTGTGCCAGGCACATCCTCTCTCTCTCTCTCTCTCTCTCTCATGACCCTAGCTCGACTCCATCTCCGGCTTGGGCTCTCGGCTCCTTGTCGCTGTTCATTTCAGGAAATGCATTTCGTCAGCGTTGAATGAAAACGAAATTGCCAATTTCAATGGGGATAAGGAGGAGAGGGAAGCCAGGAGCTACAGCAGGCCAATCTGTAAGGTTCAGGCTCAATCAGTCAGTCACTGGTCTGTGATTTTTTCACCCCCTTTTTATATACATATGTATATATATTTTGCCAGGAATCGCGGCAGATAATGTGATTTGCACGGATGCGAAACCACACCGCTTTAAGGCGAAAAAAATGTGGAACCGTGAACGAGTGACCCATTTCCCAAAAGCCATACAAATCACGCCCAAGATTTATTTACTTCACTCTGAACTTTAGCTCTCATTCGAGTTCCATCTTGGCTGGGTATATATACAGCATTTACGGTCTAATCGGGGTAACTCGAAGCCGGGACCCCTTTAAAAAGCTCTCTCTCCCAGACCGCACAATCCAGAGCCCTCGACAGAAGTGAAATAATGCCCTCGCATCAGTCGAGCGCAATGAGATTCATTCAGCGAATTGCACAAATTTCCCGCACAACAGCTTCGATTGCCTAAGGATAACGAGGGGGGGAGGGGTGAGGGGGGTCTGGAAGTGGTCCTTCTGGCTGCTTCTGCTGCCTTCCCCTCTTTGGAGAGCCATTCCGATTCCTAATAGCAGTTGCAGTTATGAGAGCAACTGCGTAAATCAACTGCGAGCTCAAGCGAATGAAAGTCAAACAAAGAAAGGGAGGCTTTTGGCTTTACTCAGCTGAAGGGGAGGTTACCTCCATTCCTCCATGGCCTCCATATCCTAACCCGGCCAGTCCTCCTTGCTATTGGCAATCCAAACAAAAGCCTGGCAGAATTATGTCAATGGCATCGTTGTCATGGTCGCACCAGATTCTTTCCCTGTAGAATTTCCGCTATCCAGGTGCTTCGCCTGCAAGATGCTCTCCAGCTTCTCCTCCTGCACCTCCTGCTTCTATTGATGCCATTAACGCCACGCTTCTGCTCCTCCAGAGCATGCCCCGCGAGATGCGTTCCTATCAAAACCAAAATTGAATACAAAAATCTCATCAAAAATCGATTAGAGCTGGAAGTGATGGCAGGTATACGCCTTGCCTTGCCTTGCCTTCCCGGGGAATCGTGTTAATAATCGAGCTACGAGGCACCTGCTACTACTACTTGCTGCTTGTTCTCCTCTGAGCTAGGCTAGTGGATTGAATAAATAACATTGGCAAATGCAATTTGCGAAATTAAAACCGAAAGTAGTGAAAACTTTTCAGCTTTCAGCTAACCGAAACTCCCTTTGGACTATTGTCAGGCGTCTTATCAGTGACAGCAATCATTTCTGCGGCTTGGAAAACTTTCTCCTAACGACGCCAAACGATGAAAATGATGATGATGATGATGGGGATGATGGGGATGATGGGGAGGGAAATGGCCAAGGGGGTTGAAAGAGAGAGTCTGGTTCTGTTTCTGTGCGAGATGATTGCTGGCTCTCGAACCACATCGAATTGGAAAGCAAAGTGTTCATTTGTAAAATTAATAAAAATAGTTTTCCTTATTCCTTTTGGGCGGGGTGGGACTTAATGAATATGGATGAAAGTGCCGCCAAGTTCCGGCGGCCGCATTAAGTGACACGAGGATGGCCACCATCGATCGAGTTAGCTTCTTCTTCTCCTCCTCCAAGTTTTCTCAAGTTTCCACAAGTTTACCCCGAGTTTACCTCAACTTTTACCTTCCACCCTTTACTTTTTGTTTAATTTTGCGGTTGTGTGGAATTAATATCAGAATAAAGCCCACAAAGGGGTGGTTCGATGTTATTTATTTAAAGGCCTGAATAACTATAGTTGTTTGTGATTAGATATGTGGTATATGTAGGTGTATTGTAACTAAGTAGGAATATGTTTTATATAAAAGGCAGAAACAGATATCTAATAGTATAAAAAGTAGCATTTTTATAGGAACTGTGAGAAAAACCCAAAGAAAACCCCTGTAATTCAACTTTTATTATATATAATATATCTAAACTAAGGTGATAAATATTGAAATTATAAGAAAAAAAGCAGCTTGGTTTCTGATTTCGATGTGCTTTCCAGTGCTGGGTATCCCTCAGTCGATCACCAGACTTTCCTTTTCGTTTCCCCCCTCCCACGCTTAGTTCCGCAAATCCCATAAGAAATCGATTTCAGATATAGAAACCCATTAGTAACACTGAAAGCGAGTGAAAAAAGCGCTTCGGAAAAGTATATGGAAAGCATTAATTTGTTACCTTTTGATTTACCGGATTAAAAGCAATTTCATTTGCTTACTTTGCTGGCATAAATTCCGTAGAACATGAGAGCATACATATACGTTATACGTTATAGATTTTTTACGTGTTGCTAAAGCAGCAAATAAAGAGGAGACTCCTCGAAAGATGATGATCCCCCTGGAGCAGCGCCTGGAATGTCGTCTTGAGATTAGAGATGTCATCTAGGCCATGTCCAGTCGCTGGAGCAAGGGGCTGTCTGGCGGACCTATACCCGAGTCATGTCCCTACATTCAGCATTTAGCATTGTGCACAGACAAAGGACGAAGGACGAGAGGGCGAAATGTGTTTTGTCAGTGACATGGAAATCAAGTGAAGCGATGTCATGAGAGCGCGAGGACATTTCGCTTCGCAGTGGGGCCTGGATTTGGAGTGGCCGAGTGGCTGTCCCGATAAACTGTTTGCCACACACACACACACACAGACTCCTAGGGGGGCACGTGTGCGTCCTCGCCCACTTCCGCCCTCCGAAAGCGGAGGGAAACGGCAACTGAAACAGGAAGAAAAAGAAATGAAATGGACCGAGGAGGCGGCGAACGGGAGGGAGGCAGGGTACAACTCAATTAAGCATGCACAATGCACACGAATTTAAGCCCCCGCCTCAGAGGACCCCCCTGGGAAATGCTTTCGCTGCTGCTGCTGGTGGCTGCTGCATTCGAAATAAACGTACAAAAATTGTGGAAAATATCGCAATGTATGGCCAAGCGAACGGGCTTTGGAAAATAAAAATTGTTTTATATTTGAGTCACATAAATTTCCATTGATTTTCCCCATCGCTTGGCCCCCCACTTGGCCGCAGTTTGTACGTGTCTTTGGGCGATTCTTTAAATCCTGAACCCTGAATCCTCGAACAACAAAAAAAGAGAAGAGAAAGCCCAGGGAAACCACAGGAGAGAGCAGCAGGAGTAACAGGAGCAACTTCTTCTAGAAAATTCTCTATAGTTGATTCTATTCCCAGCGAGTGGCAGTTTAACTCTGAATTCTAGCGAGAAATATAAAGAAATGGAATGGGAATCGTGGTGAAAGGTCACTAATGGAAAATCAAAACAAATAAATATCAGGAAAATTTATGAAATATTTTAAAAGAATATGAACAAGACTATTTTCTTTATAGAAAATCTTTAAACATCTATTCTAACAATTTCAATTGAACCCGTGCATTCTGAACTTGTATCTATTTACTCTTTTTCCTCCAAATTTCCACCCCATCCTGGAGCCTGGGTTCGGGGAAAACATTTCTCCAAACAAATGACACAGCGACAGAGGCAAAGGCAGTGTGGAATTGGAAATAAATAAAGGGCCCGACCTATGACGCCTGTCCATCCACCCACTCGCTTCCAATCGCTTCCTGGACGACCTTCTGCCCCCCGCCACCACCCCCTTTACGGGCGTCTGCCCCTTGTTTGTTTGCTTAATAAATGAATGTGGAAA